AGGAATTATCTGTAGGGTTTTATAATCTCCAAGGCACCTTTCCTATAGAAATTACTCAATGTAAGTTTTAATGAATACTTGGTAACAAATTGCACAATTTATTCCCCAGTTGTATCCCCCAGGAATTTAAAACATCTTGACTGACATGGAATACCATTTTATTATATCTAGTACACACAAACATACCGGTGTAACTGAAACTTTGGCAATAGTACTTCATTCTTCTGGGTACAGTACTTTTTTCTATTCTAATTAATTCTCCCCCCCCCTTTTTTTAAAAGTAAATTGTGTTGAGACCTGCAGTTTAAAAACAATTAAGTACAAAGTGATTGGCAGACATTTTTGTAAAGGGCCAGATAAGTATTTGAGACTTTTTTCCATTATATGGTCTTGATCATTTGTATTCTTGTTTTTTAAACAATCCTTTGAACACATGCCCTCTCTGGGGGCTTAGCATGGTATAAAACTGGCTGCAGACCAACTCTTGGGTTTGCTGACTCCTGGTCAGAGGTAAAAAGACATCAAAATAGTATCATTGGGAAAGAAAGAAATCAGAAATGAGCCTAAAATATGTAAACCTATTGTTTTAAAGTATATATCCAGACAAGTACTGAAGTGCAATAAAAAATACCGGATACTGGGTAATTTTGGCCTCTTAAAGAATAACTGGAGACCAATCTTAATTTACGGTGACCCAGAACAAGACCTGCTGGGTCCATCATTCTTCAATTTTCATATCCATCTCAAGCAAGTTTGATTCAAAAAGGAACATTACGTGATAGATTCTTAGGGGAGTGTTCTTGAATAGGTGGGGATGGGATATGGTATCTTTTTATTCGATATCCCAAGACATTCTGATATCCGTAGTTCCCTGACTATACTTTTAAAAACATTGATTAACAGATAGTGGTGATAATAATGTCTCATTATCTTATTTACATTAAAAAAAAAAACCAAAAAACGGAATGTCGAAATTACTGCCATTGCTGTGTGCTAGGCATGCTTAAATGCTTTAATTCATTATCTCAGCTTTATGAGAAAGTTGAGACCGACATTTGCCTAGTGTTTCACAGGTCTTGTGCTGCAAAACCAGGTGTAGGACCCAGTGGGCCTGGCCTCGTCCGGTGCTTCCGACTCCCAAGGTGTGTCTCAAGAAGGGGCTGAGGCTGAGTATTTCTCATAGGCAAGCTCTACCGAGACTTCTAATGTGTCTTATCTGAAACACTTGTCAAGGTCACACACAGAACTAGTATTTAGAGAGCCTAGTTGTTTTTGTTTTTGTTTTTGTTTTTGTTTTTTACAGTTGTCTCACCTTGAAATCTAAGACCATTAGGGAGTTGTTATTTATTTTTTTTAATAAAGGTTTTTGCCATAGGATGTATGCATTGTCCAGAGAGAGACAGTGAGAAGAAAAGTGAGAGATCCCAGGGAAGAATGTCCATGCCACAATCCATTCTCCTCCTGGGATTTTGGGTACACATACACATGTGCCCAACTTGGTTCTCAAGCTGCCGCCGGGTCTAGTACTTGAACCACAGTTGGCCATGTGGGAGTCTAGCACCTTACCACCATACCACCTGCTGGCTCAGGAGGTTTTTGTTTTGTTTTGTTTAAATGAAATTTGTTTGATGGGCTAACTGGTCATGTTTTCCTGGTTATTTTTTCAGTGATAGTGATTGGTTTGCATTTTTGGTTCATGACCTCTTATGAATCCCCTTAGCTAAAGTAATGGTATTTATGAGAGACTGGGGTTAAAAGGCACATTTTTGACCATAAAACTGGTACCCGTTGACTCACATAGGGATCAAGGATATGGCCTTGACCTCATAAAGCAGTGATTTAATCAAATAAGCCAGGCACCTACAGTCAGCTGGAAAAATACAGTCTGGTCCAGGCTTAGTGAATTTTGAACGTTACTTGGCATGGCCAAAGATGGCACTAAGGCCAGTCAGTCAGATAAGTGAAGGTGGCCTTTGCTTATTTCCTACTTTTCCGAAGGATCCCTTCCTCTGCTGGTAGCTTTTCTATCCCTCTATTACTCTTTTCTAATTTTATCAGTTCCAATTATTACTTTCTGCTTACTATCAATTAGTTCAGGTTACAAGGGCAACCTTAAGGTGTTAGAATGATAGTAGCTTATCATGACCCTCTCTAGGAAAACTCTTGAAGACTGGAAAGAAATCCTAAAAACCTACTGTGCCTCTCTCTTCCTCATTCTACAGAAAGTCAATAAAATGTGACATGCCATTTCTGAAAGAATAGTGTCCTTATCCTTGAGATTTATTAGTATGGTTTGTAGTAGGCCACAGAATTAGATCAGTATCAATTTGGAGGAAAATCTATGGTAATTAATAGTTTATCTAGACACATCATCATGAGCTCTTGTATTGCTTAATAATTTCCTCAGTTAAATTGCTGAAATTAAAAACGAAGTAAATACAATTCCAATTACCTTGAATTGGAAGAGATCAGAAACAAACATGGTCTCATGCAGAGCAGTCCACCTGGGAGAAAATACCTAATATAAAATACAGAAGAACTGACTTTCTGCATTGTGGAAGAAAAGAACCTGGAGTCCAAAGTAGATAGCACCAGACAAAATATAGACCCATATCTTATAAAATAAGCATATCTAAATCATACACATTGAAATATACCATGTAATAACTATGACTTAATTCTCTTAATGCTGAGTTACATCAAATTTTTGTTGGAGAACTTTATCTACTTTGGTTTTTACAACTTAAAAGGAATATGGGGGGACTAGCAGATGGTGTAACGATTACGTCGTTGGACTCCTACATAGTCAGCCACGGTTCAAGTGCCAGACTTGGTGGCTTAAAATTCATGTCAGGTGCATGTGCCCAAAATTCTGAGAGGAGAGTGGAGGAGAAGGGATTGTGGCATGGCCATCCCCCTGGGGGGTGATTTCTTACTTTCTCTCCTTTCTCTCTGTCTCTCTGGTGAGTGAATACTCCCTATAGCAAAAAATCTCTCAAAAAATAATTAAGAAAAAGGAATATGGGGAATTTACAAGAGATCCTTCAGATCATACAGAATATAGTATTGTAAAGTGAGAGGTGCCAGTGGGGAGCAAGATTAAGAGAACTTTTATCATAAGAAGAAATGGGTGAAGAAGAGTCAAAAAGAATATTCACCTGTCTGAAGCCTTTTCCTTAGAAGATTAGGAGCACATATTT